ACAGGCCAGCGCTGATCTGCCGCCCACGCTGGTTGGGCTCCAGCTGACTCTGGGGCTCCCACCGGCGCACGCGGTGCTCCAGCCCATGCCCTCTTGTTGCTCAAGTCCTGTTCTGCCCTGGAAGAGCTTGCCTTCAGAAATTTTTCAGAGAGTTTCAATTGGACCATCCCAAACTATCGTGCCTTGTTGAAAGCGGACAGCTGAAATAATTCAGCTGCGGGTGAAATCATTGCTCCGTGTGCCAACTGTACGATGTATGAAGCTCTTTGATGATGAAAGGTATTGCCAGCATGAAAGAGGCATATTTCAAATTGCTGCTTGAGAGACTGGCATCCTCAGCGTGAGACAGTCGGGCAGGATCCAAACATTACTTCTGCCCTTTAGTGGGTGAGAAAATAGGTTTGCATCCTTGGGTTGCTTGATGTGAATGAAACGGTTTGCTCAGAACAATGCTGCCGGCATGGCTTCTGTCGGCACTGCTAGCAGCTGAATGCCACACTCTTCCTTGAGTAGATGATGTAGAGGCTCGAGCAGACTCCGTACCCTTTGCAGGACATGACTAGTTTGGGGGACTCACACTGGGGACCCCCTGGGTCACGGAGCCCGGTGCATGCCCAGGGTGGGCAGGACAAGAAGCTGTTGCTGCCTCGTTGCTCCGCTCTCTGTGTGTTAGCCAGCGGTCAGAGCTCACCCCTGCAAGGGCTTACACCCTAAAAAGCATCTTCCAGGTTCCTGCTCTTACATGCTCTGCTCAGCAGAGAGGCCGAGGACTCAACGGGCGCAGGCGCTGACATTGCTCCCTCGCCTGAGGTTTGGACTGTCCAGCAAATGAGGTCATCAGAAATTGCTTTAAAAGGAATAAAGCGTGAAATTTTAATCAAAGTGTAGAGGTACCGCGGGGCCCTTTTGACACCGTAAAGAGCATCGCTTCAGAGGGGGATGCTTCTTGCTCTTGTAATTCTGAAAATTAGACCATCAGCTACTGCGGTTTGCAAGCCCGGTGTCGCTAGTTGCTTTTGGAAGTCTCATCTCAGAATTATTTCCGAGTCTCACCCAAATTTGTTGGACCTTAAAATGTCTTGCCAAGCAGTTTCCGAATGACTGTGGAATTTAGTGTCTTGTTTGTTTTAGGAAAAGTGCAATTTATAAAGCTTCAGTATTTCACTAGGTAAAAATATATTTACAGAAAGAAAGAACCATTTTCTGTCTTCTTCAATGCCGGTTGACATTTTGGCTTTATGTTAGATATTAAAATAAAAATCTCAGCTTGTTCTTGTTTATTAAAAAGAAGATCTGTTATTACTATTTAAATACTTCTAAAAGAATTTAAGAAAATAAATAATAGCTTAACCTTAAAAGTCATGATAAACAGTAAAATCTATTAGTTATCATTGACTCTGTAGATGCTACCTGCCTGGTTTTCTGCAGTCCTTTAATTTTTGGGATGATTTAAGCTAGTACAAAGTGATTAAACAATAGGAACTCAACAAGAAAACATTTGATACCTATTTTGCACGTGAGATTGAAGGACTATTGGAGAGCTGGGTCCTGTTTGCCTAAATAGATGGCATTTTTTTCCAAAATGAAACAGGACTCGTCTGCCAAGTTATCTGGATTTTAAGCGTCTGCCCGTGGCTGTCCCAGTGTCTCACACTCGGAGAAGTGAAGAGTTTGGAACTCATTAGAAATGGGCTGAAATTGCGGCTTTTAAAGATTTGGCCAAAAAGGCCAAAGAGTTTGAGATATCCAGGAGCCGGGTACTTGTGGTCTTGCAGTTTATAAAGACTTAAGGAAAAGCTGAGAGATCCAGTGTGAGTTCCTCTTGGTCTGCCTGCACTCAGGTGCTCCACGTGCTGCCCCGGAGGAGCCGGGGGAGCCCGAGGGTGCCGTGTCCCGGGGTGCTGGCTGTCCCCATGGCCAAAGCCAGCGCGGTGGCTCTGCTCTGCCGGCCAGCTTTGCTTTTGCAAACTCTCTGCCAGCTCCACGTGCTCTGGTTGTGAACAGCCTCGTCTGGTTTTAATTCTAAACTCCATAGAGAAAAAGGAGCTTTGCATTGATTAAACCGAGTTCCCAAACTGTTGGGAACTGCACAGGAACAGCAGCGTAGACTCGGCACTATTTTGAAGCAGGTAATTCTCCAGAGTTAGTCTCGCTGTAATATTGCTTAAAAACACTGCTGACCTAATTATGACACAGTTAACATTCATCTAGTAATTAATGAGTGTTACAGTGTCTGCTCTGGGCTTGACAGGATTCCTACTGTGGGCTCATTTGATGCTGAATTGTACTGTACCGTGTGCTGTGCTTTGCAAGTCATCAGTCTTACGTGACACTTAAAAATCTCTGACAACCTGACAGTCGGAGCCTGGGCAGAGGAAATTACAGGATGTCCAAGGCACATGGGAAACTCACAAAAAGAGATCGGGTCAGTTAAAATCCTCATAATGGGCTATTAAATTGTTTTACTGTTCAGCTTCTCTGTAAAATATCAATTATCTCAATGGTTGTAATGTAATCAAAGTAATTAAATTCCAAAGGCTTGCATGTAAAAACCAGACCTTTGTAAATGGGAATCCAGCCCCAAGTAGTTTGGTTGGTCAGTCTGTGTTTAAAAGTTTCTCCAGATGACTATTTTTTTTTTTAATGGTGTTATAGTTAGAGAACTGTTAAAGGGTTTTGTGTGTTTGAGGTTTAGGGTGTGTTTTGAGCTTGGCTGCACACAATGTTTGAACAATTGAATAAACGAAGCCCGCGTTACAGCCGAAACGCAGGGACGCGGCACATGCCAGATGGAAAGCCGGCGGGTCCGTGGCCGTGGGAAGCAGGGACAGCCTCTGCCGCCGAGCCCTGGCCCCGGCTCCGTCTGTTTGAGTCTCCTCAGCTGACGGGTAATTGTAGCTTACCTTTCCCTAAGTTCTGAAAAATGACAAGCTAATGTCTCTGAAGCACTTCAGATGTGAATCTTGAAAAATATTCTTATCTTAGGTTTATCGCATTCAGGACCTTGCCTCTGGTAATGTGTTTTACAAGAGCACGAAAAAGCTAAAGAATGACATATTACAAGAACGTTTTCCCCATCGTTTCTGCTGGTGGAGGGAGTACTGCTCCTTGATTAAGTTTTATTTCCATTTATTTCAGTACAGCTCCTCCCTTAGGTTTCATCAGAACCAAATTAAATCCTGTTTTGTTAGTGCCAAAATTACTTTTCTTGCCACGATTTTATGAAATTAATGGTAATTTTGGGATGCACCATTTTCAGACATCTTAAAATCTTCCAATTTAGAGAAGGTGCTAAGCGTCCACACCCTGAAAGTTGACTTTAGTAGGATCAAATGGCAGAATTTGCAAAAGTTTTGGGCTGTAATCCAGGAAATCAGCAGTAATTCATAGCAGGCAATGTTGTTCTGAAAGCTGCGTGCCCAATATAGGAGCATCTATCTCCATCTTTAATGTCCTCAACTTTCAGAGGCATGTCCTCACCTAACGGAATATTTGGTACTCATTTTAAAAAGCGATGAGACGGGTCTTTTATACCGCTGCTGAAACTTCTAAACAACTGGAAACCTGCATAAAGTCTAATGGGCTGTTCCTCCACTGGTTGGTAAGGTACAGAAAAAAAAAAAAAAAAAGGCTCTTTTGCACACTTAGATTATTATTTGCATGACAACACCAGTGGAGGGTGTGCTGTTTAAGACAAGAACTAGACGTGCACAGCCCCAAGGACCTTAAGGAGAGAAGACATGGCCCATGAAGCAGTTCAAAGGGACGGTGACATGGTCGTTGTTAGAGCCCAAGCAGTCGCTGGGGAAGAAGTGAGTGTTTGGGGAAGAATTTAAATACATTGACCTGTGTGCAGATAAGGGTTGCTGTTTCTGTTTCTGTCAAGTCATTAAGAAAATAATAGACTCGCCGCTCCAACTGAGAGGTAGTTTCCATAGAGAATGAGCTCATGGAGGCAGGGAGATGCAAAGAAAGTGTTAATGCCGGAGCAGAGTGTTTGGGAGCTGGGGAAACAAAAGGAAAATCCAGGAATGCTCATAATGTGCAACAGCCTTGGGGGATTTTTTTGTGTCTTCAGACAAAATAAATGGAGTTTAGTCTGAAGGGCTTCCTTGAAGCTCACTGAAATCAGCATGTACGCTGCGTCTGCCTCGATAAGCCCTGTCCCGAGGAGAGCTGTGAAAACTGTGCTTCCATAGCTGCTTCTTAAATGTGGAAGTAGCTAATTGGTGTGAACAGAGTTACGTGATCAAACTACTTAGAAGTTCCTACAGTCGGTTTGAAGGAGTAAAATCTTCTCCATCCTCTCTCACCTCGTGAGCAGCTTCTGCCCGAGGTCCCTGATCGAGGCGCTCGCGTGCCCTGAGCAATTCCCTCCCTGCACGCAGTGGGCAAGCAGAGCTCACCCTGCTCCAGGCTGCCAGGGTGCTGGTACATTCCCAGTTCTCAGGCCCTCGTTGAGCAGGTCTCCCTGTTCCTGGTCCATGGGATGCTCTGCTCTGGGATCCAGCTTGGGAACCCGGGAGGGGCAGTGGGAGGCTCCCAGGAAAACAGCCTCTTGCCCAACTTTCCTTCATTTCCATCACTCTTCCCTCAGGTAGAGACTGAATTGGTGCAGAAACCAATTAGCGACCATTCGTTAGGAGGAAGTGACTTGTTGGAATGCTTTTCAAATTAAGTGCTCCAAAAACAGAAGAACCACTGGGGGCAACCCTAGGTAAATGCCGTTAAAACCAGAGCACGCCGTCTCTCCCAGAGCACGCCTCGTCGGCTGCCCGGCGCGGTGTAACAGGGCTGTCGCGGTGCTCTTCTGCAAACACAGCCCGGAGCTGCAGAGCTCTTTGCTGCAAACACAGCCCGGAGCTGCAGAGCTCTTTGCTGCAAACACAGCCCGGAGCTGCAGAGCTCTTTGCTGCAAACACAGCCCGGAGCTGCAGAGCTCTTTGCGGAGCACTTCTCGCCCTGGCCCTCTAATGTGTGTTTCCTTCTCTCCCACGCAGGTGCATTGCTGTTAGGAGGAATCCTCTACTCCTGGCAGTTCCCTCACTTCAACGCGCTGAGCTGGGGTCTGCGGGAGGATTACTCGCGGGGAGGATACTGCATGATGTCCGTCACCCACCCCGCGCTGTGCCGGCGCGTGGCTCTGCGGCACTGCTTGGCCTTAATCGGACTCTCGACGCTGGCTCCTGTTCTTGACATCACCACGTGGACTTTCCCCATCATTTCGCTCCCAATTAACCTCTACATCTCCTACCTCGGCTTTCGGTTCTACCGGGACGCGGACCGCAACAGCTCCAGGAAGCTTTTCTTCTGCAGTCTGTGGCATTTGCCCATGCTGCTGCTCGTCATGTTCACCTGCAAGAAATCGTTCCTGGAGAAGGAAGACAAAGGCGATCTGCTCGGTGGAAATCACGGGAGGGCTATGGAAATTAGATTGCCTTAAATGTCAATTACTTGTCATCCTCGTGACACACCAGGTAGTCTGTTTTAGTTATTGCAAGGGGGAAACCTGTGGGGATCCGTTTGGAAAAGAATCATTTGTGCCTAGCGACCACTTCATGTGATAATTTTCTATTTTCTTCTGAAAGGGAAAAGACGTGAGACCTTAAAGCATTCACGGGCCTCAGGCTCACGGATTAAAACATAACCAATGTCAGAAGCACATCACTTTGGGACAGCCTTCCAAAGGCTCCGTGGGTCGTGGTCTCTCGTCTCGTGGGTAGGTTTGCAGTTAGCCCGTCACACGCGCACACTTCCTAACCGCCGGCACTGGCAGCCTTGGCGAAGCAGCCAAGAAGCGACAGATGAATGATTTATCACCCCTGCTCCCCAAGCATCCTTTCCAAATTAAGCTTTGAGGCACATGGTGGGTTGGGTGAACTCTCGTCTCCATCCGTGCCGTCCCTGCTCTGTTATTACACAGAAGCCTTCCGTTTCTGAGGCTTTTTTCAATCACTTCCTTTTCCCAAGGGTCCCGTTCACCTCAGTAGATTTTTAGCTTCCATATAGCTGGCACAACGCTAAAGGAGAAAAGCAAACTGTCTTTCAGCACACTACGCATCAGCGTTTAAACCACCTCCAGGTGAGCAGCTCTTCTGTACCGTGCCCCTTGAACACGCTGGGAGCCGTTCTGCGCCACAGCCATCGCGGGGAATTTCTGACTCCCGGGGGGTTTCACATCGTTAGGGTTGGAGCCCTCTGTCAGATCTTCAGCTGGGAAAAATTGTCGTTACTGTTTGTGTCAGTGAAGCTTTGGAAAGGTGGAGGAGGTGAGAACCAGCTCTCCGAGCCTGGTGGCTCTAAGGCTTTTCCGTGCTGATGTGTCCTGTGCCGGCCCGTTCGGTGTCGGTGTCCTCGGAGGAGCTCTGGGCTCGCATCAGGAGTTTGAACTGCACTGAGTATCACACAGTGGGGGCTGAGAGAGAACGTTTCTCTCTTGGGGGATGTAATTAGTAAGGAAACACATTGTACAGAAAAAAAGTTTGGGATTTTTATCTCATATTGTAATGTTCAAATTCCTGATGCAGCCAGTGTCTCTCAAAAGCAATTATTGTGGATGGTCTCACTAGAAAAATGCATTATCTTTGTTAACTGATGCGCTGAAGAACATTTCTAGCCACAGTCTCGTGCTTGTGAGCCCACGTCGGGGCTGTGGCTCATCCTCAGCCTCCCTGGGGCTGGCTGTGACCCGCTGGGATGTTTCCATCACAGCAGCCCCCAGGGCAGGCGAAGGCTGCATTGGTTTATTGTGGTAGTTAGTGCCTGTTATGACTTGATGCATTTTCACGCCGAGATTTTTTTTCTGATGTGGAGAGGGACTGGGCAGCGTGGTTGTGCATCGATCCAAAGATAGAGGAGTACCTGAAACGGGAGATGCTGCCTCTAATCCGATCCCGAATAAAGCCCTTCAGGAAACGTCACAGATCTGCCACCACGTGCGTATTGTGCTGACATCAGATCTTCACTGGCTGCTCTCGTGATACGAGCCCAGCTTCTGATCTCCGTTACGCTGGTGTAAATCGGGAGTGACACAGTTAACCTCTGCTCGGCTGGCGGAGGTGCTGGCGGGAGCAGAGCCACCTGTTCTACATGGCTCTTAAATAATGGGTTGTAAGATTTTCTGACTCTCTCAAGTGATTGCAGGTGACAGGATTGAGTTCCCTCTCGCTGTTTGTCTGACGGACTCCGTTGTGCTCGAGTTACTATGGGCAACACTTTGTAGAAATGTCTGGAAACTCTGCAACTCCTGAATTTGTTTTAAAAGTGCATCCAGTCTCCTCTGCAATAAAGTGCGTACTGTACAAATCGATGAATGCTCCACGTCTGTTTTAAACAATTCACTTATGGTCAAAACTCTGGGACAGGTCAGTTAATTGCAAAGGTATTTGATAGTTCTGGGGCACTTCTCACGGCAAAAATATTCTTGATCACTGCAATAGCAAGGGCAGCTTGTGAAATACCAGCTTGTTGTGCAAAAACATGCTGAAACTAGGTTGCATGTGCGTGGAAAGGGTTCCAAAACGAAAGAATTTGGTCAGCCTTTGGGAGAGGAACCTGCAAAGAGCAGATGGCTCACAAAACCCGCAGGTTCTGCTCACAGAGCAGACGGCGGTGCTGAAGCAGGAGGGCTGTGGTTTCTCCAGAGTCATTACAGAGCCAGGCTGCAGGATGGGCTGCGAGGACGGGGTGCTGTCCTGACAGACTCCAGTTTGATTAAAGGTCCCAAGGAGATGCCTGTGGTTCAGTTTTACAGAGCAGTCATCTTCATTTCTTGGGCCAAAATGTGAAACATTCATGGGGTTTAGGGCCAGGCAGGAGCTTTGTAATCATTGCTGAGTGTCTGCAAAATGCAGGTCACAGAGTTGCACCAACATCTCCACACCCAGTCAGGCTGGCCTGGAGAGAGAACATGGTTTTGGAGTGAGTGGATCTGGGATTTAAAGGTAAGAAGCTTTTAAAAAAAAAAAACATAAAAGCAGCATTTTTTCTTCTATTTTTCTTCTAGAAGGTGTTAGTTGCTTTGCTCCATAATGGCCATAGTGTATCAGGTATGGATGAAAGTCGTCTGCTGTCGTTTTACTGCCTTTAGGAATTTTTGCTGTTGCGTGCAGTTTGAAAGTAAAAACATCACCAAACTGAAACCTTGGTTACAGACAGTACAGCAGGTGCTCTCAGGTGTCCTTTTCAGTATTTCTGGTGCCCCTATGGGAAGGAAAAAAATACTGAACTGCCTGCCCTCCTGCAAAGGTGTTTGTGGTCCCTGTGACCCTACGTGGAGGGTTAGTGTCAGCCGTCCCCGCGCCAGCACTGCGATACCGCTGCTGACATCCTGCAGGGAAGGGGGCAGGTGAGGTGGTGAGGGGGTCTCGCTGTGATTGCTTCGCACAGCCGGGGCAGTGTCGGGAGCCATGCATCAGGCTTTGCACAGCTCCTTGAATCTGAAACAGTGGTTCCTACGTGGAATTGCTGTGGTTTTTTCCTTTGTCCCATTTGGAGAACTCGAATATAGGTTGTTTGTCATCCCGCTATCCTGGTTACTCAGGATCTCCCCACGAATGGGCCCTCCTGGAGAACACCTGCTGTTGGTCTGGGAGTGAAAAAACCACAGCGATGTGCCGTGTCCCTCCAGCCCCGGGGTCTGCCGGTAGCTGAGAAGGTCCCACGTAGGTGCTGCTGCTACAGCGGGCAGCTGTGCACCTCCTGAACCTCCCGGAGGGATCTGAGCCAGTGACCCAGGAAGACGAAGCTGGTTTTAGTCTATTTGGATTTTAAACCTTTGGTGTGGTTTTGTGGATAAAACAGTAGCCTGGAGGCTCCGGGGATCTTCATTCTTTCCAGATCTCCATTTAAGAATCGCAGTCTGTCTGTAAAATAGGGATGATGATATTTTTCCATGTTGGATGAGCAAACAGCTCGTGTTTTTGCCAGTCCCCCACCCGTGATTCTGTACCACCCCGTAAAGAGAGCGCTGGCTAACGGTTCCATCCCACCCCACGTCTCGTCTTTGCCCCGACCCTCAGCAAACCGCCCCGGCACACGGCTCTCCTCGCAGGACAGCGTGGGGAGCTGGGCTACGCGGCTGCGGTTGCCCCATGCTCTTGTGTTCACGGGGAGCCCCCGGGTCCCGTGTGAACCCGCCGACGGTCCCACAGCACAACAGGCATCCTGGCGAGCCGGGCAGCGGTGGGGCTGCGCGCTTTGTTCATCCTGAAGGAGGAAACCCAACCCCCGCACACAGCTCCTGCCCTTCTCATTTCCCCCACTGGGTTTTGGTTTTTGTTTTTTTTTTTCTCGCTTCCTGTATCAATCTCCGATATAATCTGCCCCAGCAGAGTAACACATTCACACTCTCCTGGCTCCAGCAGCGTTTCCCACTCAGCCAGGCCACGGCTTTTGCAGGCTTACACAAAACACACACATCCTCCTCCGTGCCGACGGTCCCACGAGAGCGGGAATGGAAACAGAGCGATACTATTAGAAATCATTATCATTGCAGATAGAAAGCGTGTTGTCCTGCCTGCTCTCCAGAGGTGATTAGATATTCCCCTTTCCCTGGATACACAGGCTGTTTACAGAACACTTTGCTTTTCACACAGAAATACCAGCGCTGTTTTCCTACCAGGCGGCTCTGCTGGAGGTGGGAACACTAGAAGCTCCGTTGCAGGCTGTCCCCGATGGTGTTTCTCGTCATGGTATTTCTTAACCAGGCAAAGAGCCGGCCCCAGTGATGGCTGGTGGGATGCAGGATGCTGCTCACTGGCGGCGTGGCCTTGGGTCGGTTCTCTGCCTCTTGGTGTGGGTCCTTCCAGCCCTGGAGCAGGTCGGTCCTGCGGGGCAGGGCTTGTCCCCGAAGGTGTGCAACCAGCACTTGGCCCCGCCAAAGACAAGTCAGAGCCTGGTTCCAACGTTCATCGTCTCCCAAACAGCGTGGTGGTAATTGGGAGTGGAAGATGACAGCTGTGAGGTCAAGTGGGTCACTGGGGAGGACCCTCCTCTGTGAGGGTCCCTCAGACTGTGACTTTGTGGGTGGTTCCATGTATGGTTTTTACTCCCCTCTGAAATAAATGTCCTACAGACTTTCAGGGATATGACACAAAATTCAGCAAGCTTTGGAGCTGCCCTCCAAGCCCTTCTGCCGACCGAGCTTGCAGGATTTCTTGAACCAAGACAGTCCCTGTGCTCTGGTAGAGCTGGGGTGGGTCTGGGTTGCCGTGGTGCAGGATGCCTGCCCCTCCGAAAGGCTCTTGTCAGGTCCAGAGCCATCAAATCCTCCCTGACCCAAAGAAAAAATGGGGTTTTGACCACAGCACATGTACAGTGTCCCAAAGGCATTTAGACTGCCATCAGAAGTGTTTGAATGAGGTGGCAGGAGTAGATCTAGACTGGATATTAGGAGGCAGGTTTTTCCTGTGCGGGTGGTGAGGCAGTGGCCCAGGTTGCCCA